AAATTGGTTTAGGGGTTAGTCTGAAATTCGTTTAGGGTTTATGGGTTTCTCCTGTGATGGATGTAAGGACTGCTAATTAGTTTTTCTCAATTTTGTGTTTAAGAGGTATGTTTTACTCTGTTTTAAGATGGTATTTGCATTTTGCTGCATATTTGGATGTAATTTTTCGCCATTGAAGAGTGGCTATAATTGAAGTAGTCACCCTTGCTATCTTGAAATTGGACTTCAATTTAAGATATAAATCATTTAGTTTAATCCATCGATATGGAGTGAGGTGGGAAAGGGTTCTTGGGGCTGAACCTGAACCTTAACTCATCATTAGCGTCAATCCTTGCATTGAGAAGAGAACAAAAGCTGTTCAAGAATTACATACTGCACAAGATGACTTTGGCAACAACAAACTTCCCTCTTCCTAAAATTCTTGAACAACTTTTGTCCTCTTCTCAACGCAAGGATTGAAGCTAATTATGAGAATAATGACGTGATTTTCTAGTGTCTCAACTTCCTAGTGAATTTCTACCTAAAAGAATCAAATTTCACATACAATCACATATGCATTGACAAGTGACAGATATATTAAATAGATATAAGCCAATCACATATGTTGCAGCTTTCAATTCAAAGAGGTACACAAGTTAAAACAAAGATGATTTTGATAAAAAAGATTTGAAATTTGATTGCAACGTATTAATATTGTTGTGTTGCAGTGAGAAATTTGAAGGCTTTGAGGCCTGCGATCTTTGCTCTCAGAAGCTCTCACTTCTCCACAGCTGCCGAGCCGTCTTCCAAGCAGGGTAGCCCTCCGGTAATCAATCTTAGCCTGGCTTAGCTCCTGTTTGTTTTCTAGGAAAAATAAACTCTTTCTCGGGAAAATGATGTCTCATTCGCGCACATGTAGCTTGTAGTTTTGACTATGTATTTTTTTATTTTGACGAGTACATGATTTGTTTGTATTCAAGTGGGTTCATGGTTACTGTTACTGAGTAGACTTCGGTTATCATGATTTGTTTGGCTGTTGAGAAAATAGTCTAAAAACGAAAAGATGAAGAGAAATGAAATGGAAGCAGCTGTTGGGATTTTATTTATTTTCTTTTGAGGGGTTCAACTTTTGATTTAACTACCAATTTCAAGTTGAGGAAAGTTCAGATTGGAGAATTACTGTAAAATGTATATTCATTTTTCTCATTTAATCTAATTTTAATTGGTTTTGTTGTATCAGAGCGTTCCCAATCTAATTGGAGGTAGTTTTGTTAAATCACAATCATCTGCGTCCATTGATGTTATCAACCCTGTAAGTGCATAATATGCTTCAGTTCTTCTTTTCTTTTCTCTCTTTTTGTTAACTTTACAGAATTCATGGTTGTTATCTTGTATTTAAAACTTGGTCATAGGCAACACAAGAAGTTGTTTCACAAGTTCCTTTGACCACAAATGAAGAGTTTAAAGCTGCAGTGTCTGCAGCAAAGCAGGCTTTTCAATCATGGCGCCACACACCAGTTACGGCCCGTCAGAGTGTCATGTTCAAGCTCCAAGAGCATATTCGGAGAGACATTGTGATGCAGAATGCATATTATTAGTTTTCCTAATTCTACTTGGATTAGTTTTCCTATTATTAGTTCCTAATTCTACTTGGATTAGTTTTCCTATTATTAGTTTTCCTAATTCTTAAAGATTTCTTCATAGGAAAGGATTTCTTATTAGTTAATTTGCTTTCCTATTTCTTAAAGTTTACTTTTCCTTTTCCTAGACTAAAAAGGGTTTTGCCTCTATAAATAGAGTTGTTTGTAATCTTTTAAGGCAGACTTGATTAATGATAAATTTCCTTACTTTAAACTCTCTGATTCCTTCCCTTTCCCTTCGTCTCTTCGATCTCTAATTCTTCTCCTCGATCGCATATTACCGTCTGAAGCTTGCTGTAGAGGCTTTAAGGGGGGATGCGTATATATGAGGTAAATGTGGCACTGTTTGTGAATTGAGTCTTCACTTATCACTTGAGAATTCACTCTGCTCCTTAATTATTTCAAGAAATCCTTTATATGAATATGCAGATATGAAAGATGTGGTGGAGGTGCTTTTTATGGTGATCCATAATGGTGGTGGCGGTGGCTAATTCTCTTACCCTAAACCCTAAATTGTTTCCATTTTGTAGACATGGCAGATAACTTGTACTCAATGTGGAATATGCATCAATTTTAATTTTGTCAAAATAAATTGGGTTGTACGTCTAATCAATACCACTAGGGATGTATTTCTCATTCGGTTTTCAAATTGGGGTTTTGTTTTTGAGTTGCCATTGTTGATAGCATACTTATTATGTAGATTGTGAAGTGAACTATTTCGTACAGCTGGATATTTAAACATACTTGCGTTTTATGGAGGTTTAACAGTTTACTTGTTTGAAACGTTGTGTTTGTTTCCACTAAATTCTGCTCATTCTTTTATCCATTTTTTACATTTGGTCCGTGTAGTTTTCTTCATTTTTACACTTACTTGTCTTTAT